ACTAATAGAACTATCATCTTCATTTCTTTAAATATATACAAGTAAATCTCAGCCAAGTTATAAAATAATCCTTAGAATGATTTAGTAATTACTTTCTAGGAAGTGTAAATTAATAGATACCAATAAAGTAGTCAAAGAATCCATTTCTAGTGGCAATTCAAACCAAATCACAATTTATTAAAATGACCCGTTTCAAAGTTTTTTTGAAAACTGCTGACACATGTATAATGGATGCTGGATGTGAATGAGAATCCTGGAGATTGGAATTTCTGCAAAGGATAGTTACTTCAAAAAAGGAATGATTTACTATTTGAAGGCCTTTAGGATTTGTTAACAGAAGGTTAAACACACACACACACACACACACACACATAATTCAACTTAACAGGGTGCATTATACATGGCAAAAACAGTTTTCACAGACTCTGCCATGGTTTTGATCAAAAAGCTAAATAACCTCAATTTGAACTGGCCATGGGCAAGAGTAATCTTGAACTAAAAATCAATTTAAAGCAACAATTTCAAAGTTTGGAAACTCTACTGATATAAAACCAAACAGGACAAAATGCACCCTCTGCCCCTTCGTAACTAGGTGATTTCAAGGTGCACTTTGGTCCAACCTCGTTTTTCTCCTTTCATCACTTAACATTCTATTTTAATGTGTAGTGCCCTGTACTTCCTGTTACTACATCTTGATATTCAAGTGCAAATCATGACTCATTCTTAAATCATAGAGAAACTCATCAAAATCCCAAATTTCACAGCACATAGGAACTCAGTCTTTCAAGAGGGCAGCATTCTTAAAACATGACTTGAGCCGCAGAGGACGAGAAAACACTGGACAAGACCACATAGAAATTATGTAAATCCATCATTGAGTCAACACATTTATGAGATCAATAAATACAAGCTTTAGGTGTGGTAATTTCAGTCTCAGTACTCCTTACTAAAATGTGTTACATGATAGGTTAAGTGAAAATAAATAACAAACAGTATGTACAGTGTGATTTCAAATAAAAAATTTTATGTGAATACATGTTCATGTGTGTATACACATACACACACACACGCATGCATTTTTAAAGACTGGAAAATACACAGCAAAATGTTAAAAGGAGGATTATGTTAGATGTTTGTTTATTTTTCTCGTGGTGGTTTTCTTATTTTCCTAAGGTAATTTGTGCTAATATTTTTTACAACAGGAAAAAATAACTAACCTTCAGAAAATACCTTTAGGCTAGCATGATCCCAAGTAGGGCTATAAATCAATCTATAAAGGCAATGAGGAATTATGAACATCTGAGACATAAAAATCTTTTGCCTAAAACATACAAGAAAACCTGCCAAGAGTTGGGTCCTTCATGCAAATCGCCCATGCCACTCAGGGGCAGGTGTAAAGGCAGGTCCCTCGGGAGGGCATCAGAAACCAGTCCCCAGGGCAAAAGGAAAATGGACTGAGAGACAATTTTTTTTAAGATGTGATAAGGAACCCCAGATCTAGGAAACATGGAGATGACTATGTCATTCCCTAGGCCTGAAACAAAGCAAAGCTTGCAATGAGTAACCAGTACCTCACTCTAGAAAAAAAAAATTACTCCAGGAAGTCACATCCTTGGATAAATGTTCATTAAATATTTTGAGTTTGTCGATAGGTTTATAACATTTCAAAGCACCATATCAATCTTCTGAATCAGTTATATAAATGTAATTGGGTGGCACCAAATGCACAAAATCCGATATCTGACAGCTGAGCAGGAATATTTTAATTTATATACACTGCCTGGAAGTCCTTTAAAACCAATTGCAGGAAGAGAGTTCCAAAAAGTTATTACAAATATAAATTTTAATATATGATCTCAGAGTTACACTTACTGTATATTAGCAGTTGTGAATTATTTAATTTCTTATAAAATAAAAAAGAGATTTTATAATAAATGTTTAGGTAGTTTCAAAATTCAAATGGGGCTGAAAAATCACTGCTTCCCCGACCTGGGCTGCCACCATTCTAAAAAGCATTGGTACCAAGTGCATGGAGATGCTGAGCTCATTAAATCTCAGAAGTAATCCAACTCAACTCACAGTGTGTACATAGTCACAATGTCACCATGTGCAAGTCACTCTACTTCACACGACCGACAGAAAATTCATGAATAGTATGCTACATATCTAACAACAACAACAACAACAAAAATACAACTGACCACTTTCAAATGCCCTAGTTGTTGAATGAATGTGTATGAGTTTTATCATCACCATCATTTTTAAGGGAAATAAGAGTTTCTCAATCTGGGCATTACTGACATTGGGGCAAGGAAATCCTTTTGTAGGGACTTTTCTGGGCATTGCTTGAAGACTGGCAGCATCCCTGGCCTCTGCCCACTAGATGCCAGTAGCACCCCCTCTGGTTATGACAACCCAAAATGTCTCCTGGGAGGCAAAATGAGTTCTGGTTGAAAACTACAGATATAAGTGAAACTTACACATTCCCAATAACAATTTGCTGGAATGAGGAGCTCTAATTATCTCCTTTTTATTCAAAGGAGAGGTATATACAACCTCCAGTCTTAGGGAACTCTCATGAAGAACGATGCAAACTTTTGAAAGCCTTTTTTTCACCTATGATAATATAATATTATACATTTTTCACCTATGATCAATGTTGTCACCCTACTCACAGCTCCAAGGCAGCAATTTATTGAGCACCTACTCTGCCAGGCATGGTACGAGGGACATCCTATATTGATGTCCACTGACTCAGCCTGGTCCCACTGGCTAGGCTGCTTTTAGGGCCGGCTTTGTCAGGTAACAGAAACACCAACACTTTAAAAACCCTCAAGAGAGGACAATGTGTCCTTGTCAATGGAGGGGCCCCATGTTCCAATGGGGTGCTTTGAAATTCTTTGTCCTTTTTAGTAACCCTACACATTTCTAGACAACATTTAGAGGCTTAAAAAAGAAAAAAGGCCAGAAGGCCTGTGCTATATTTGGCCTAGAATGGCCATGGCTTTTCATGCTCAGGGGGTTTTGCAGGCGGGATCCTTACTGGAAACTCTTAAGAACACTGATGGACACTTTCCTTAGCTGACCCACATGCCCTCCTAATACAATTTGTAATTTTATAATCCTCATAAATTCAAACTCATACTGACCTTTTCCAAATAAATGTGTGCCACAGACCCAGACAGAAAAGGAGAGAGATCAGAGGGTATTTTGTTGGGCTATAAGGCTCAGAAATCGATTTAAGCTCATTAATAGATGCTCGGAACATGCTGGGTTTTTCAGACCCCCAGCTCCCAACAAAGCCCAAGCACAGATGGGAGAGGATGGGTGTGTGTGAGCTGCATGGGCAACAACCACAACACACACACACACACACACACAGAAGAAAAACCTATAAATTTAAGACCCAAAATGGCCAAAGTGACTTCACAGTTTTTCAGACACTGCCCTGAAAAGGCTCACGGGGGCAGAAAAGGCACCTCTAAGTAAATAAGGCAGTAACTTGTCTCTGTCTCCAGAACTGGGCTCCCCAGGCTGACAGTCGCTGCACAAAACCCCTCCTGTGTGGAGCAGCGGAAACTCCTAATGAGATTAGTTGGTGTGTGTGCAGACATTACTTAGCAATGACTAAAGGGGCTCTCTCTTCCTGCAGCAGCCAGTGGAAAATTCAGGGAACTTTTTCCCCCTGCAGCAGCAGAATCCCTTTAACCCTCTCCCTAGCCAACTCCAAAAACAACTCGGCCTCCCCCAGTCTGCCCCCACCCTGGGCTGGGAGATTGGAGGGGAGTTAAAGACCCACCAGGGGCTTTCAAAGACAGGAGGGCCGGAGGGGGCTGGCGGGGAAGGGGCGGGGGACCCTCCAACACTACAAAGGAAACTGTAAAAGGCACAAATACATAAACCTGAGAAGGAGCAAACCACAGTTTCTTTGTGAGCTCCTCTAGTGAGTCATTTTCAAGATGCTGTCTGCTGCCAGTTTCAAAGCGGAAGCGCATGGCAATTAGTCTTGCCGTTTCCAGACAAGCCAGAAACTCTCCCGACACTCGTTTTTTTTTTTTTTTAAAGCCCCTTTTGCAGTTTCTGAAATAGCATTTCTTGCTCCCACCCCCACTCGCAGCCTAACTGCAGCTTGTCCCCAGGATGACTGGGTTCAGAAAACAACAAAACCGAGATCTTTTATTTTTTACTTTTTTAACCCTCCACATTTTAATCCACCCTCCAAAAGAAAAGTTACAGTAACATCACAGGCCAGCATTCGGTAAGAGGCTAAAGAGCTGGGAGCGCCCAGATCATCTCTTGCAGGGTCCATCTCCCAGACCGGGCCCAGCAGACTCCACGGGCTTTTCGATGTCCGACTGATACAGTGTGAGCCTGGGGCGGTGACCTGGGCGGGGGTCACCTGCCCAGCGAGAGTGGACGCACCCCCCAGCCCCACATCTTCGCTGTCCATGTCCTCCACCTCCCTCTCCACTCGTGTCCCCTTCTCTGAATCCAAGCACCGGTGCCCTCTGCCCACCCGGAGGGGAGCCCGACCGCAGCCCCAGCTGGAAGGTCAACGACGGTCCAGCCTACAGGCACGCAGCCTACTCCAGTCACGGTTTCTTCATTTCAGGGACCTGAAGTCTCGCCGTCCCCAACTCCGCCCGCCGCCTGCAGCGGTGCCCTAGTTTGCACGCCCCACTCTGGGCTCGCAGCGCAGCCCCAGGGCTGGGAGACACGGGCGCAGGGTCCCCCGCCGGCCCTGGCCCAGCGCTCAAGCTCCGGCGGTGGCGGTGGCGGCGGTGGCGCGGGCGCAGCAGCATCCTGGCAGCGCCCCCTCCCGCAGCTGGCCCCCTCCCGCGCGGACTCACTCCCACCCACCTACCCACCCTGGCCCACAGCCCACTCCGTGGCGCCCACCGCCCCACCCCCCACCCAACCAAAGAAAAGAAGAGTGGAAAAAACACCCCAAATGAAACTTTGCAAGTGTCCCAGCAACAGGCAGAAGCCCTGTTACCTACCCAGATGTGGGGGAGCTTTCAAGATCCTTCTCCGGGGGAATTTCTAGGAGGACCCGGGCGAAAGCCCCCGACTTTCCATGCTGACAGGCGTCTGCAGACGGTCTGTTGCTCTTGTAATGAGATCCTGATTTTTCCCCCTTTTTTTTTTTCTTTCTCTCGCTCCTCTTTCTTTTTTTTTCCCCCTCTGGTGTGTGTGAGAGCAGGAAGTTGGAGCAGTCAGGCCGAGCCGGCTCACTTCCTTTACTGCATTATTCCCCAGGCGGTGTGCAGTCTGTGTAAACAGGCTTTTCCGCCCCGCGCCGCGCGCCCGGGCCGCGGCTGTGAGCCGGGGCTGCCCGCCGAGGCCCGCGCATACTCCGCCGTCCCGTGCCCCGCGCGCCCGCCCGCACGCCCGCACGCCCCGCGCGCCCCCGCCAGCCGCCCTCCCCGCTTCCTGCTCGGCCACCCCAGGGGAGGAGCCTCCAGACCCGAGTGGCCGCAGCCCCTCCCCACCGGCCAGGGGGGCTCGGCCAGCTACCCGCAGCTACCCCGGACGCACCGGGCGCTGACTCCACGCAGCGGCAGAAACGGGGGTCCCTCCTCTCCCGGGGGGGGGTGGCGGGGGTCTCTGCCCTGCTGCTGCATGGGGGCACCACTGTGGGGTCGTGTCCTGCTGGCCTGGGAGCGGAGGCCCACTGTGGGGAGGCCTCTGGACTCGCTATTTTATGACAGCTAGAAGAGTTGGGGGGCAAGAGTGGGGTTCAGGGTTTGGTTGCTCTGGGCAAAGGGCTGTTTTTATTGTGGGCCAGGCATGATTGTTTAGGATGAGAAGATACAGGATGTACAGAAAGGGAGGCAGTTTTTGTCTTGGGATAGACAGTGTTCTTGTCTGGGGTTTAATTTTTAAAAAAAAAAAAGGAAAAAGAAAGCCAGCCTCTAAGTGTGTGTGTGTGGAGGGGCCAATTTGGGGGAAAAGTTGAAAAGCTATAAACGTTAAGCGACGATTCTCCAGTCAGAAAACTTTTTGGCAATTCACTATGCAGTCCCAAACTTCCCTGCCTGCTCCAGGTGGTAAAGAGCAGTGACCACTGGGCCCCAATGACTGAAGCATCTGAAGGAGCCTCTGTGGCCCCAGGACTAGAGTCCCACCAGTGAGGGCCCAGGCTAGGCTCTGAGTAGAGAAGGCTTCTGCACTGCCCTGAGCCTATGACTAAGGAAGAAGGATGCCGGTTGAAGAGTCCCTCACCCCCACCCCTAAGCTCCAACCCCAACTGCAAACCTTCCAGAACCTTCCAGTCCCGTGCCTGTACTCCCCGGCGGTGCAGAGCAATGGTTTCCAAGCACCACTGTGCCACAGCTTGACCTGGGGGGCTCGTTAAAACACTGGTTGCTGGGCCTCACCCTGGAAGTCCCTGATTCTGTGTGTCTGGGGTGTTTCTCAGCCCTGGCTAACAGTCGAGTCACCTGGGGAGTGCTTTGAAAACCATCCAACAAGGTACTCAACCCAGACCAATTAAACCAAATGCTCTGAGGGCAGGGCTTGAGTCCTTTCAAAAGGACCACATTCTAACATTTCCTCCACATTTTTGTTTCTATTTTTGCAACCTCTCTGAAAAATTACTTATTTACAAGCTCTCACTACTACTAAGTGTGAGCTTCTAAAAAACAGTCCTGTATTGTTGCAGAAGTTATTACTACCCCCACCCTGAAGTACCTATCAGAGTATCTAAGAGGTCCAACATTTTTGCTTTGTGACTGATGCAGATAACCTCTTGGGTGGGACAAAGTTCCCCATACCTCTGAAAAGGCAGGAGAACATTTTGGAGAGTGGGGGTGGGAAGTCAAGGTAGGAGAGTACAGTGGGGGAGAAGGTGTGGGAAAGAGGACTGTTTATCAACCCCTGATTCTCCACAGCTAATTTTCCACTTTGGGGATTATCGTTTTAAATCCCTAGTTGGCTTCTCCTGTCACTCAGCAGAATTCATACTGTGTTCCTATATGATCCAGCTGTCTGTGGACTGAGAGAATGTAAACTTATTATTCTTCTCAGAAACACACACACACACACACACACACACACACACAATTAAGAACCCATGTTGCTTTATTTTAGAAAGTAAATGCCTGAAAGAAACCAGTCTGAAACAACTACTTATCATAGGATTCCAACTATATGGTAGTCTGGGAAAGGCATAATCTATGGAGACAGAAAAAAGATCAGTGGTTGCCAGGGGTGTGGGGTGAGGGAGAAAGGAACAGGCTGAGTGCAGGATCTTAGGGCGTTGAAACTACTCCATGTGACACTGTAATGAGGGATACATGTTATTACACATTTGTCAGAACTCACAGACTGTATATCAGGAGTGAACCCTAAGATGGATTTCGTGGACTTTGGGTGATAATGTGCCAACGTATACGTTTATTATTGGTAACAAATGGTTGGGAATGTTAATAATGGGAGAGGCTATTTATTTGTGGGGCAGTGGGAAATCTTTGTGCCTTCTGCTGAGATTTGTTGTGAATCTAATGATGCTTTAAAAAAAATAAAATCAAGACTTGGGAGGGTGAGGCAGGAGGATCAAAAGTTCAAGGCCAGTCAGGGCAATTTAGCAAGCTCCTGTCTCAAAACAAAAAATTAAGAAGAGTTGGGAAAGTGGCTCAGTGGTTAAACTGCCCCTAGGTTCAATCCCCAGTGCCACAAAAATAAATAAATAATAAAACTCTGAATTTTTGAAAGTATATGCCAAACTTGAAATAGATCTTAAGTTGGTGGCTTATGTGCTTTTTATTTTATTTTTGCCCCAATAAATCTTTGTAGAACCCTAATATGTAAGGAAGCAGAGATGCACATATTTTCATCAAACAACTTAATTGTCATGAAGAATTGCCTCTGTGGCTAAAGCATTTCTGAAACACTTTGGGGGCAGCCATAGAGTTTCATGCCCATAGGAAGTTTCTCTGATATTCTGGATAATCTGTACCATTACTCCCAGCTCTTCATATAAATGAATAATTCAGAGCCAACTCCAGTCTTTCTCGAAGCCCAAGGAATAGCTTGTGCTTTCAGGTGTCTGCAGTTTCTGTCCTCTGCATTCTAAGAGAAAACTGCTGTTCGTTTCCATGATTTCCTTCCCATAATCAAAAAGCAGACAAGAAGTGTGGAATCTTGTATGGCATGATCCACACTCTTCTGCTTTGTTGTAGAACAGTCAGGGGTTAGGATTATGTGGGTTATGAGTCAGATTTCTTCAGGAGCCCTTTATAACAGGCGGTAGAGCCTAACATCATACATTTCTGCAGTCAAGAGAGGCGCTCTCAGTTTTGATGAGAACAGCTGAGAGTTCACCAGAGATGATCCACAAAATCTGAGTGATGAGAAATCAGAGTGGGTGTACCCAGGACAGGGTGTGTACACTAACCCTGAGGATGAAGAGTGTTAGACGGTTGGATCTCAAAAGAAAATCAAAGCCCTGGTTACAAAAGAAGGGGTGTATTAGTCAGCTTATGCTGAGATCACACTGTGTGACAAACAACTCCAAGACCTAGTAGTGTGTACTTGAAGAAAAGCTGAATCTCTGAGGAGAGTCCCAGGTGGTTAATTGGGACTAAATTCAGAATGAAGTCGGGTAGCCACTGCTGACTGGGAATCATTCATGTACTCTCTATTCCTGGAGGGACCAAGACCTGAACCTTTAGGCCCTGGCAGTTCTTGTTTCAAATGCTAAGATGAACATCTTCCCAAAAGTCTCATTTTGCTCCCTGGACCTGACCAACGAACTATGACCTACAGTCATAGGTAAACGTCAGCCTGTCAGGAACGGGCATGGTTGCATCCCACATTTGCATGAGTAGACCAGAGTGAGAAATGGGTGGGAAATTCCTCTACACAAGCCAGGCCCTCTCTTTGTTCTTCAGAGCGGGCTGTGACTCCCAGTTTGCAAACAGGTTTTTTTGTTTGTTTGTTTTTTTTTCTTTAACAAAGTCCTCTTTCTCCTCTTGAACTCTTTCTTAATGGATTCTGGTTGACAGTAGTTTATAGTAACACGTGAGTCCAGCTTGGCAGGCCGAGCACATGTCTGCTTCCCATGTCTTCTCATTCTGGGACCCAGGCTAAAGGAACAGGCCCTACTGGGGACACCTGGTTCTCCAGGGGAATAAGGAGCTCCAGAGGAGGGACACCTGTTAACACGTGATGCTTATTAAACCCTCAGCTTAGGGCTCACACACTCTCATTCTACTCACATTCCACTGGGAAAAGCAAATCATATGGCCAAGTCTGAAGTCACAGGGCAGGGAGAGAGAGGGTAGGGAGGGAAGGCAGCATTCTGAACAGATAATCCAATCTACCACAGGAGAAAAATGGACGTGGGGAGTACAAAAACCACAAATCTCTCAGGCTCCTCATAATTTAACCTCCCGTAATGTATAACAGAATGCATTTTTTTTTAAAGTAGATAGATGAGAAAGCATAGTTACAGCAGGAGGAGAAAATGAGTTTTCGAGGAAGACTCATTTAAAAACATTCTAGAACACTGTCAAATATTAATATTTGAAACTGATGAATTGATGATTTGGGGTAGAAACTCAAAATTGGATTTGCCATTGTTAATTTGAAGAATGCTTCAGTAGTTGTTGGAGCTTGGGAATGGACAGCCAAAGCCTGACCAGAAGGCAGCCCTCTCTGGTGGAAAGTGCATGGTTGGAATCAGGAATTTTGGAGATCCAGTCCCACACCTGCCTTGCTGTGGCTCTGTGGCCTTCACAAAATCACTTACCCTTAAGGAGTCTGAACAAGCACAGTTTTTACTTGTTTATCCAGTGGATGCCAATTGTACTTTAAAACAAATGCCTTATGGACTAGGATTTTAAAATGTTCGTGAATTTCATTCCAAGGAGTATTTAAAAGAATTTTATAGACTTGCAGTCAGTCCCCCGTGGGAGTTGGCATTCTTCTCTTAATGTTGTTAGAGGTATTTCACTGGGAAAATTCGAGAATATTGATTTGGACCATCTTTTTTGCTCTTCAACTGGCCATCCATAAGCTAAAGGCTGGCACCACTAGCCCCTGGGGTCCACTGCCTGTTTCCACAATGTTCTAGATTGAAAAAGGGTTTTATTTTTCTCTCTTTGTTTGTAGTTGTAGTTTTCCAAAAAAGAAATTACCATCTTAACCAGTTTTAAGTGTTTCGGTCAGTCGTGTTAGGTGTATTCACCTTGTGAAACTCCTCTCCAGAACTTACTCATCTTGTAAAACTGAAACCCATCAAAAGCAGCCCGTTTCCCCTTCCCCAACCTCTGGTGGTCCTCATTCTACTTTTCATTTCTATGAATTTGACTACATATTTCATTTTAAGCAGAGTCACACAATATTTCTCTTTTTGTGACGGGCTTATTTCACGTAGCATAATCTCAAGTTTTAAA